TTCAAGTTCTGACTAGGTGCCAAATGCTTTTACATAAACTGAGAGGAAAGTAAGGCATAAAATGTCATCATGATGGTTCACTGATTGGTTCTAAGGACAGGGTTTCCTTAAACTTTGTTCCTTCCTGATAGGTGGCCAGTGGTAAGAGAAATACTGATGATAGAAAAGAAGAGATATTGAGGCAGAAAGCCCTGGAGTGGTGCGAGGAGCTGGAAGTAAGGGCACAAGTAATAGGTTATAAATATTGATTTGTTTAAAGTCAATAAAATAGCCTTTAGCTTCAGAACAGCCAAATCTGAGGACTTTACCTTTTTCTTTTTTTCATGTATATTAGCTAGTTAGTTTCACAGAGCTGTTTATGCTTAATCAGCTCCATCACTACCAACAGAAAAGCTTCCAACTTTCTTCAGCAGAAATGAAGGGGAAATGCAATTAATGATATTACTTCTAGAATATCTAGTACAGTGGTTCTCAACCTTCTGGCCCTTTAAATACAGTTCCTCATGTTGTGACCCAACCATAAAATTATTTTCGTTGCTACTTCATAACTGTCATGTTGCTGCTGTTATGAATCATAATGTAAATATCTGATATGCAGAATGATCTTAGGCAACCCCTGTGAAAGGGTCGTTCGACTGCCAAAGGGGTCGCGACCCACAGGTTGAGAACCACTGATCTAGCAGATCTAGCAGCCAGACAAATATAAGCTAGGAAAAAACAACAACAACAACAACAACACACACACACACACACACACACACACACACACAGCCAACAGCATAAGTGACAGTGAAAGCCTGTCCCATTTTTCCTACCTAATTTGCTTTTGGAATCTGTAAAGCTTAAAGACTCAATCTTAATGATGTGTCAAAGAACAGGAAGATTTCCCTGGCTAAAAAGAATTCTCCACATGCTGCAGAATTCAGAAGGAAGAATGCACCGAGGATCATGTAGACAACCACAAATTCCTTTTGAAGATGGGCCCGCAATCTTCTAAAATAACAATTTTTCAATTTAAAAAATAATATGGGAGAAATTTGGATGTATTATTGGGTCTGAACAAGTTGTACATTTAATTAAGCAAAGTTTTCTTCATTTGTTCACTTTTCCCAACAGGGTGACCCGTCACAACTCCTAGAGGCACTGCTTTAACCTCTAAGAGCCTAGCAAGTTCTCTGGTTCATTATCAGCATCAGGGGTTCCAACTGAAATGCTTCCAAAGGCCACAGATAGATGGAGTGATAGCACCAAGAGAAAGA